GCAGTCTTATTAGAGATTCTTTGTCCCATACTTAAGTGGGGGCAGTTTAGTCTTTGTACAATTAATTAGAGCCTAATCACTATTAAGAGGTCGACTGATAGGGTTTAGCTATCAGGTTCGACAGTTCTTTCATCTTCTTCTTCTCTTCTTCTTCTTCTCCTTCTCTTTCTTCTTCTCCTTACTGGTTCGGACTACTGTAGCAGCAGTCGAAACATACAGATTTAGCCCAGGGTACATAATTTTCTCCATTCAGTTTAATGGAGGTCATTTGATCATTCAGGCAATCAATAGGGACCATCACATTAGTCTTGCTATCACTGTTGTCTCCCATAGGTGAATTCTGATATTGCTGAATTCGGCACACTACACACTAGACCACACCACACACTGAACACACTGGTTTTAGCACTTAGTACTGCTGAAAATTGCACTCTTTACACCACAAACCCTACCCCACGACTACCTAAACACTCACCACACTGTTTGAGGACCACTCCCCTTTCAAATCATACTGAAAGAAAACATAAACCCTAGCACACTACAATCTGAAATCCCACCATACAATCTGAAACAGACTTATGATTTGATTCACAACACGAAATTGCATAGAAATCTCTTACCTAATCACCCGAAAATCAGACCACACAAGACATCCACTGCACCACACGAATCAGCCCTCTTCTCTTCATCAATTAGGGGAGGGATTCTTAGAAACCACAGCAACCAACCACAAACAGCACAACTGGAGGCATAGAAACCTCCAAGGGAAGAGGGTGACCACTCCTTTTCAGCCCTTTCCCTTATCTCCAACAGATGGCAAAGAAACCAAGAGAAAACCCTAGACTAGGTGCGCAGAGAAAAGAATTCTGGGCAGGTCTGATTTGCTCAGTTTGGCTCTGGTACCATATTAAGATTCGACCTGCCCTTGAATCCTATTAAGCCGATAACAGTCAAGGAAGAAAAAGAGAGAGAGAGAGAGAGAGAGAGAGAGAGAGAGAGAGAGAGAAAGAAGAAGAAGAAGAAGAAGAAGAAGAAGATGAAGAAGAAGAAGAAGAAGAGAAGAAAGGGAGAGAAAGAACTGGTTCGAATGAGAGAAAAAGATCACTCTCCCATTCGGCCAGAATTGATTTATATTACTAATATTGTGGAAAAGACACATGTGTCCCTAATTAAGTAAGGGACACTAAATCTAACATAATCTTACACATCAGCACATAAACATAAGTATAAAGATAGAAATACCCCTACATATTCGACACTTACAAAGATTAAAATATGAAAAATACAGAAACTTTATAGAAAAAATTTGGACATATCAGTTTTATATTAATCATATTAAAAATTAAACACAATAAACAAAAATTGTTTTTAATGATGGGAATAAAATACAAAATTTAAAACTAAGCCACTGAAATTGTTTTCTTATTTGGGGTAACAATTCAATCTTTTAGGTCAAATGTGTCAACCCATGATGTCATAATTAAATAATAAAAATTAAAATAAGATAAAAAAACTAATATTTTATATTAATTAACATATTAAAGAAAAATAAGTGTGACAAAGAATAATTGATTTTATTGATGGTGAGTTAAGAAGTAACTTTTTGGGTCAAATGTGTCGACCCTTGATGTCATAATTAAATAATAAAATTTAAAAAAAAAATGAAAACACACAAAAGTATAAGAAATACAAAATAATTTGTAGAAAACATTTGGACACATCTTTAATATCATATATTCACCATATAAAACAAAAACAAGTGTAACAAATAAGTAATTTTTATAGACATAAAAATATAAAAAAATGTAGAAAATTTTAGAAACATATCATTTGCTATCATCATCATAAAAAATTGCCGCATGCAAAGCACATGAACACTTACTAGTGCCCAAGAAAAAAAAGGAAACCATGATTACTCACCAACAAAAAGACTATAATGCAGAAAAGATGAAAATGTGATACTGAATACTAATAACTTAAACAAACCACAACCACAGAAGCATTGGATAAAATAAGTTTAAGAATAAAATGATTAATATGTTCACCTAAAGACAATATAAGTTCACATCTTTATGACTTTATCCCACTAAGTATGGCTTGACCCAGACCACTTTCCAGGGTTGCCTTGGCTTTATAAAAGATTAATTCTTTTCCCTTTCTGCAAGACACTAAGAAAGTTACAAAACCTGCATCAGCTTCTTTATATATATTCTTTTTCCTTTTTCCTCTTTGAATAATGATGATTTTTCATTTTCTTGCTTTTTTTTTCCACATTCTGCTCTTTCAACTTTAATTTGTTTAACAGAAAATCTCTGTTAAATTTGCTTCAATTCAAAAGAAGTAATATTGCTGGGTTTAGTAATTTACTTTTAGATCCAGGGGTAGATATCAGCAATTGACTGCAAGATTGTAGAAGGTTTTTTTTCTTTGAAAGATGTAAAATGAAATTTGTATTAATAGCAAAAAAAGGGAGCGGGTGAGAAACCCTCACCCAGTTAAAAAAAGTGTGCCTCTGTAAATATGTAGAGAACATATACAATCAGCTCCTATACATACTCAAAATATGATAGACAACCAACTAGTAGAAAATGCACTAGCTGGCAGTCCTACAAAAAGATTAGAGAAACCAGTCCAATTCTGCAACAACCATTCCACTCTACCAATAACTGATCCTACAACCTATTATTTAGACTCAAAGATCCTACAGTTCCTTTCCTTCGAGACTGTCAAACAAATAGCAAAAGGCAGGAACCTCCACGAGCATTTTCCCCAGGCAGAGAAAGCACCATACCTCCAAGAGGATAACAGATCAGCTACAGAACAGGGTAAAACCCACTGGATATGAAAGAGCCCAAAGAAATGACACCACACCCGATAAGTAAGCAGGTAGTGAATCAACAAATGATTTACAGATTCAGAAGCTGACCC